ACACTGCTGTCAGTCACACACGCGCACACACAGCTAATACACTACAGGATGGCTTGAAGCAGATTCAGCAATATGATCAGCATTTCAGTGAATGATTGTCTGACAGCCACGTTTCTGTATTAAAGCCGCCAAACGATTGCGATGATTTAATTATATTAATTATTATTTCATTAATGAATCATTTTGCTTTGACATATGGCGATTGTGGAGCAAAGAATGCTTAGACATCACTAATGGAGAGAGTATGTTTGACTCGTATAATGATTTCTGAAGGATACACACATCTATGCACAGTCATTTTAAGTCACATCAAAAATAAAAGTTTGTTTTGACACATCATAAATTTGTGGACTGTATTTATTTATTATGTATATGTGATTAGGCCTGTTACAATAATCAATGTATGGACTTATTGCACACATGGACATGACGTCAATCATTTTTGGTGATGCAATATACAGTTATATATACAGTTTTTTTTTTCTTTTTTAAATATTTCCCAAATGATGTGCAACAGAGCAAGGAAATTTTCACAGTATGACTGATAATATTTTATCTTCTGGAGAAAGACGTATTTGTTTTATTTTGGCTGGAATAAAAGCAGTTTTTGATTTTTTTAAAAAGCATTTTAAGGTCAAAATTATTAGCCCCTTTAAGCTATATATTTTTTTCGATAGTCTACAGAACAAACCATCATTATACTATAACTTGCCTAATTACTCCATCCCACGTCTAGTTAACGTAATTAACCTAGTTAAGCCTTTAAATGTCACTTTAATAATTCTGACTTTAACTGTATATCGTCCATACATCTTTATTGGAGGTGTCAGTGTGGTTAAATAAACACTATAGTATTTACTATAAATGACTGTAGTATGTTTTCATGTGGGTTTCTCACAACTGAAAGTAGACCTGGCAGGAGATATCACAGCCTCTGTTACCTTTTTTTTTTAACATTTATTATTATTTATTTAGGATATGCGTTTTCACATTCCGTTTCCAATGCCCTTATTATTAATGGATTAAAATGATCATAATTAAATTAAATATCCTTAAGAATAACAGATTATTTGTTCTTCGACTGAGTGTACTTGCATTATAGTCCTATTATACTGTCATTCTGGCATTACATAATGAGCACTAATAATATTGTTAATTAAACAATAATATTGCAGTATTAATATACAAATGCAATACAATAATATATAAATATTACAATATATTTTGGTGCATATATCATATGACAAAAAATAGATATCGTGACAGGCCTAATTGTTCTGCACACACATACATAGAAACAAAACTATACAAAACTATTTTGTTACATTTTACCATAATAACAATATCATCATAATATATCATCATAAGATTTCATTTGATCAAAAAATTGTAGGATGTATGATTTATATCTCAATATTAATAAACATTTTCTCAAAATAATAATTCTGCACTTATTATTTATCTGCAAAATAAATAATAAGCACTGTGCTACGTCCCACAGATCTCGCTATTATGTCTTTCTTTTCCATTCCTTAATAACCTGTTTTAACACATTTTAATAATTGTTTTTCTTTTTTCTTTTTACGGTGGCAGCTTAAAGACGCTTTTTATATGGTGAATGAAGTCACAAGAATTGCTCAGGTGAGAGTTTTTCCACAGACTTCAACAGCGCAAAAACCTTGATGGTTTTGTGGGTCTCGTCTATCAAATCTGATCTTTAATTTGTATTTACTATTGAATTCATGTCAGGAGATTGGCTGGGCCTTTCTACAGCTTGTTTTTCTTTCTTCTGCATTTGAGAGTTTCCTTTGTTGTGTTTTGGATCATTGTCTTGCTGAAAGGTCCACCCTGGTTTCATCTTCATCATCCTGCTAATGTAGATGTTGGACTGAAGCAGCTAATATTCATTTACAATGAGGCAGGGCAGAGGGTCACTGAATAACTTCTGAGATTTCAGCTGCTGTCTGGGCTTTCACTGCCTTTCTACACCTTCCTTTCTTTATGTGTTCAATACTTTTTCCCTCTGTCATTTCATGTTATCATGCATTAATTATTTATTTTTAACTATTTAGATTTGTTTTCTTTTCGTATATGGATTTCCTTGGTTGTTATAAACCGGTGATAATTTCAAGTGACAAATGGAAAAAATGGTGACAGGTTCAATACTTATTTCCCCCACTGTAAAGAAACTTGCCTTGCCTGCCCAAGGTAAAAAGTTGCCACTATAAACAACTATACATTATTTATATATATATATATATATATATATATATATATATATATATATAGCAAATTGAACAAAAAAATCTAAAATGTCAATGCATGTATAGTAAACATCTTGATGTCAATGTATAGTGCTGCAGCAATATCTGCAGTAATGGGCTACTTAGCAAAGCTAACTCTGGAATCGTCCCAGTCTAAAAGCACTAGTAAAGGAAGCCCAAATGGCTCCACTGACAGCAGAGACACGACCTCTTCCGCCCTCCGTGCCCTTGATCCT